GAATGCATGCTTCATTAGTTCTGAGCAAAACAAGTTGCAAAAAGTCAGTCTACATTTAGAGCGGAAATTGACTTCCGCAAGAATGAAAGCTGTTTTTATCTCTACCAAATCATGCAAACTGGATTTTCTTAAATAGAGTTGTAGACCGACGTCTGATCTACAATTTAGTCACTCCAAAAATTTTTTTTATATTTTTTGTATATTCGGAATCAGTATAATCGATTGGCCAGTACAGCATGGCTCGTATATATGTATATAGGACGTTATTTCCTTTTAACGAACAAAATAAGAAAAATGTTATTCTATAGGCCTGTGTGTTTTTTGTTCGTTTTTCTTATTTTGGCACATAACGTACATACTCAACTCCTTTTTTGTTCCTAGACTTAATATGGAGTAATCAGGTATTATCTTTCCAAGTGTTCTGCTCTTTGACTTTAAAAAGAGAGATGCCGTTTTTATTGTATCATATTTGATAATTCTGATTCTTTTTTCTTATATATCCGTAGATAACAATTTTTCTCCTTAATGAACAAAGTAAGAAAAACAAAATTATCGAAAAACATGTGCCCTCGCTGTGAGTTTATTTTACGTTCTACCCACTTCTCGACTTAAAACTAAAATAACTAGAGAAGATCCTCTTCCGTTTTCTATACTAATCTGAAGTGCACAAATTGTACATATATTCATTTATTTTCCACAAAAAGATCCGTTTTAGTTTTTAAGATACAGAACTGTCAAAATCACAGATTAAACCTAGTAAAATGTATGGGTTTCACTTTTCAACTTTAGCTGTACCACCAGAAAAAACAAAAGTTGAACTTGGTCTCGTATGATGATTATGACCCGAAGAGAAAGCCGGAAAGTCACGGTAGTCAAAAAGAGTTTATCTGGTGCTGCATATAAAAGAAGTATAATTTGTTAAACGTTAATTATCAATATTGAGAGCCACATATCTCAAACACTGAAAGGTATCTTTTTCTAGAAATACATCAGTATATAGTACAACTTGTGTACTTCAAACTAGTATAAAAAGTGGAAAAGAGTCCTCTCTAAATTCGCAAAGTTGTTAGAATATAGGATGAGCACTGCTCTTTTAGACATAATAAATGAATATCTAGATTAAAATAGAAAATTTGTTCTTTTCTCGTTTTCTTGATTTCTACGTTTACTTCTATAAGCGAGAAGAAGAAAGAAAGATCAAACAGATGGGTTTCTTTGAAGTCGGAAGGTGAACTGCGTTGTACTGTAGTGTAGGAAAACGTGAAATCTCAACACGAAGATTCTCGAGTAAAAATCACAGTTGCTTTAGTGAGATCTTTTGGACGTACAACGTGATTGACTATTCCTAATATCTAGACTCCCAAACCACTTTTCTTTTGAAATAAAGGTCAAACTTTCATATCTTGTTGCTTTTCTTTTTGTTCCACAGTATAGTTCAGCCGCATGTCATCGGAAAAAACAACGTTGATTTAGAGTTGCTGAAAAGTGGTTTTTCGTATTCGGCACACTCGATAACCCATAAGATTTTCTGTTTTTGGTCCGAGGTACTTCCGAAAGTTTAGGAAAAGTTTTCAAATTAATATTATTTTTCCATCGAAAACTTTTTGCGCCATTTTGTTTCAAAATTTTTCTTAAATTTTCGGAAGTACCCAAAGCGAAAAATAGAAAATCTTCTGGGTATCGAGTGTGCTGAATACGAAAAATCACTTTTCAGCAACTCTTAACTAACTTTATTTTTTTTGTTCCGGTGATATGCACCATAAAAAATTTTTATATTCTATCATTAGTCTGTGTAATACCTGAACAAACCCACTATGACAGCGCTGATGAAAAATCATTCTTACTATTTGCTTAAAACCATATTAGCAAGTGATAAGGTCGGAGAGAATATATATATTACCTACAATCAATTAGCACAGTTAATGTGTTCTTTGATGTGTTATATATAAGAGTTAACAAAAAGCAATCTATTGGAAAAAATAAATAAAATGGAAAAGAAAAGATGGATTTTATATATTTTTACTCTTATACAAACATCACAGAGGAGCGCTTTACATTATTCTACGAATAATCCGAATGATTCGTTTGATCCGATTGATTCGTTCATAGTTTTGACGGCTTCCCTAAGCTTCTCTCTAGCAGGAAAATCTAATCTACTAATCTGCTTTTGCTGGTGCATCGTCGATTTCTTTTACTCGTTTATTACCGACGACTACTCGAGTATCCATTTATGTACTGTTGTGACAACTGTTTAGCTTATCACACTGAATTGTCCACTCATCGAGCAATGCAGTTTAATAAGTCGTGTTCCAGTAGCCACAGTCGACTAAGACGTTAAATAAATTAACTGAGCTACTACAACGAAGTCTGTCAGTAGATAGGAAAGTGATTCAGGATCTTTTTCCAACTTCGACTAATGAATTACTACTTTTCTGCTTATGTAATGGTTCTGAGAGATGCACAAATGTGTTCTACCCCTACTGTATATGCAGATGATTCGTCGTTACTATTGTACCTCACTATGGGATCAATAACTTCTAATTCTTCAGGTGAAAATTCAGTTCATTCAGTAAAAATTATTTATATTTTTTCAATATTATTTTCGCTCTGTTTTTAAGTAAATTTCAGTTGAGAGAGAAAAATGTAGCTATTGGCTTTTTACATACCAACATCGGATCACCACTTCGACAAATAATTCTTGTGTTTTTATAATTAACTTTATCTTGAATCATATCTTGCATTTCAACACGATTTTTGTCGGCTAAAATAACAATTGATGGATTACGTTGACTTTCATTGGCAATAACTAATTCTTTAATAACATCAAATATTAATGGTGACCATCCTAAAATAACTGAAAGAAAGAAAGCGGCAGACTTAACGTTTTCTTTCATGATCAATTATGTATACTTGTATGATTATTTTCAACAACTGTTGATCGTCCTTTCTTTAATTCCTCTAGTTTCGTGTCCATAAAAGTGACTATTGCACCAATTAATATTGCAATAATAACAAGCCCAACAATTATCACAATTCCAGATATAACTCGATATTTTACACCAACATCATTTGTGGCGGCACATGGATCAAGTATACGCGTAAATGTTTCCCATAATGCGTCTTCATAGTTCTTTGTTTTACCACAAAAATAAAAAATAATACTAAATAGTAATACTATAACTGTGGCTATAATCGTTAATAAAGGAATTATAAAGACTAGGCCAAGTGAAAACAGATTATCGAATTTATATTTTAAATAGGAACGAATATATCCAAATCTTCTGTTCTTGCCATCTAAGAAAATTGGACAACATTTGTTTTGCTTCATCGATTTACTTTGCACTACTTAATATCTAAACAAAACATTTATGAAACAGATGGAAAAAATATAGTAGCTGCTATTATGCCGTCTCATATCAAATAAATAACGTTCATCATTCTGATTTACTTATCTCTTGACTGGAAAGGAATCGACAATATCAGATTATTTCTATAGAATAAAATAATTATCTTTCTGGTTCACATTATATTCTGAAGAGCATTCTCGAAGCAGCAGCAAGTAAATATTAAGACAGTTCGGACGGCCATCGTTGTTCTTGTAGGACAAGAGTAAATGAGGAACATTCCCAATTCTTATTTCTAATCACCCTCGTATTATGTCTTGACTTGTCTGTTAGTCTGTCCGCTGACAACTTGTGTCTATGCCCTAACACACAGGGGTAAGTCCCAGATGTCGGGACTAAACTGACTCCACGTGTGTTTTTTGTTTGTCTGCGTCTAAGTTTAGGAAACTCCGGAAAACTGCTGAGAAACAGAGGAATATTTTGGGAAACTAAGGATGCAAAACTGCAAGGAAACTGAGGAAAAGTGCAATCAGATAATAGGAAACCAGAGATTCTGAAGGGAACCTAAGGAAAACCAAAGCAGACAGAGAGAAATCGATGGGAAATCACTGTAAGCAGCTAAAAGTTTGATAAAACAAGAACGATTACGCAACAATTTGCACAATGCTAGTCTCGCTGCGCGCCTTCGGCGCTTGCTTCGACGATTTCCCCTTGCTCATGTAATTACTAACCGGAAGTTCTACTCCGCCCTGAATCACTCATAGATACCCTAATAGAATTTATCAGTTTCCATACACTTTAACTCCATAAGATCCTTTCCTCTACAGCCATCCTCGTGAGACGAGCTCTCGGAAGCTTTTCGTCTGCCGGGGTACCAAACATCTCTATTCGACCGGCTCGAAATTTTTCTCGAGGCTTGCTATCTATGTGAAAAAAATCGAAATCGATAACTCCTCGAACGCTTATATCAAGGGTCTGAAGTCTCATTTTTCGAGGGATCCAGCCCTCCATAAAGACCCATTGAAAGTGTATTTTCGAGTACTCAAAATACCGCTCGAACAAGTTGTTGAGAGAAAATCGAGTATGTTTTACTTTTGAACATGACGAACACTTATTACAAGATCAAGAATTCAGCATAAGATTTTGCATTTAGTCCACTAAACCACTTGAGAATCACTCAGTCGTGCTGTGAAGCTAGTGTGGAGAGAATTTGGCTGTGCCAAACGCATCAGCTGTATTTTGCACAAGAGTCTGTGTTTGTTTTAGCCAAATTCTCTGCACACTAGCTTTATAGTTTGCAAATAGTTCTTCCACGTACTTTTACAAGGTGTAAGAAAACCCTTTTTCAGAAATTCATTCGACTATTGAAAAAGTCAAAAAATCACCTAGGAAGTTGAGAGAAAATGACTCGTACAAAATGTTTCTAGTTACGTTCTGATATGTTTCCAACCGAAGAAAACAAGAGAATTAGAAACAGAGTCGAGTATATTCTCCTTATCTGTTTATTTCACGATTCAACTGTGCTGGATACCACAATCTGAAAGTAGGCCACACTGTTAACTCGCACTGAAGATATGCGGTGGTTTGTAGTACAGATGCGCAACCCGATCCGTACCCGACCCGACCCAAAGGTTGGGTACGGGTAGAGCAGTTACGAATACGGATTATATATATTTTTAATTTATCCGAAAACCGGAAGGTTCCGGTGAAAAACCCACAAAATTTTATTGAAAAAATACAGGAGTTTAGCTAAAATACATGAAGGTTTAAACGCGTTACTTGAGAACGTAATGATAATTCGACATCTTCAGCCGAAAATCAAAAGCTTTTAGCTGGAAAACAAGAAGGAGAAAGTTTTTAGGTATAAGTCGGGTACGGGTACAAAGTTGTCGCGTCGGGTCGGGTCCGGTAAGGTGGGGAAAACAATTTTCAGATCAGATACGGGTACGAAAATAACACTAACACAATATACTTGCTCTAATACGAATCGACGTAGAATTCAATGCTTTATCCGATGAACCACTCCGAAACGAAGGTGATATTATGTGCAGGTATAGGCGAGATATCTTAATAATACGAGCGAAAAAAACACAATGGTAAAATTAAGCCTAGTATTTTGTGCAACAATGGCCATAGTTGTTAAGCTACTGGCACGGATGAATGCATTTATTAACGCCTCCTTTTCTTTACTTTATCAACGATGAATGATAGTTTGACTGACGGTGTGATTCTGACCGATATTTATTTGACGAGCAAACACCCGTTCGGATGCGTAAATGTTAATTTGGCTATGCCAATTGATAGCTCTTGATTAGGCTACACGCTGGTATGATCGCTATCGTCTACACATGGGATCTGCGTGTTTCACATCGCGACCGGTCAAAAACTAATCTCTTGTTCGAGTGTACGTAGAACTGGGTTGGGACACATAGTAGGAGACTGCGCATTGGCATTAGCTCATTAATACTATGATAGCGAGACGAGATAGAAGGTCAGTCCATCGTGTTTGCTCTACAAGATGTGATAGCTTTTCAAGTTCGAAACTGTTCTGATTATTCTATATTAATCAACGAAAAAACAGAAAAAACATGTCTGCCGCTTTTGGCCTTCTTTTTGCCACAGCGTTACGATTTTTCTATTTTTTCGTTGATTAATATACAGTAATTAGAACAGTTTCGAACTTGAAAAGCTATCACATCTTGTAGAGCAAACAATTTTCTACAAACTGTTATACTTGTTCAATTTTTGCCAGCTCCTCTTCACTGTTCTGGACACGTTTTTCAGATAGCTCCAAAATCTGCTTGTGAGGCTGTTTGTATCACAGCTGTATTTTCATAACGAATCAACGGTCAGAGCCGAGACGTTTTCCACTTTGTAGAGAAATATTCAATCTACTTAATTATCTAGTTGCAATTTTAAGTTAGTTTGTAGCTTTATTGCAATAATTTTTTGAAATGAGCGAAAAAAGAGGACCGTTAGTTTGACAAGCCGCTGTCCTGTTCAAACGTAAATTTTACTTTTCTCATCCAACTGGCAGATTCAATCAACCATGATGTTACAAGCAAAGTGTGATTCTCGATTTTTTGTACAGTACGGTATGAAAAGCCGGAATGCGTTAAACAACGAAAGTCAATGTGACGGATACCCTGTCGCAGAGAGCCACGCGTCTTGTTATTTCAATGTTTAACCGGGTCGTTATTCGCTTTTACTTTTATCAGAAACTGATGTTCTTCCGCGATCATACTAATCTTTTCCTCGCTGAGATTCATTATAATCATGCCGGAGAAGTTCAATGCCCACCGATTTACAAATCGAATGACTAAGTTCAGCATGCGAGTTGCCCGCATAACAGCACGCGTTATCAGATTTAACGTATAGTTTTGTTATATGTGAATTATCAGCATGAACTATCTCAGTACATGCAGGAGAATGGCTAGGGTATCACCAGTGGACTGATCAGGTTGAGTGAGCATAGTAAAATAAACATATGGTTCGGACTTTTTGTGAAAAACACGTCTATATGCTCTGAAAACCCGCGTTTGCCAAACTATTCTTTCTGGGACTCTCGGAATTGCATTTTCTGACTCCAGTCTCTTATACAGAAACCAGTGTCATTATCGAGCTTCTTAAAAACATCGAATCTTGCTCGCCTCTGCTGGACAACACAAATCAAATGTTTGATCTACATCCAGATAGAACTAGCACCGAGGCTGAAATCATACAAAAGTTCAATGACTAAACCCAGAGTTGGAACCGTTTGACAAAAATGTAATCAAATCGGGTCAACTGCTTGATAAGCTAAATTGGATCGGTTCGGTTTCGGATCGAAAAAGTTTTTCTAAATCGGTCTAAAAAGGTTTGATTATTTCTAGTGATATTTATTTTTCAGTGGTCTATGCTACTAAAGCACGCTGTGTGTCCTTGTAATCGTCTTTCAAGAGATGGAAATATAGGCACTTGCCTACACCAAGCTTCGAAATGTGTCAAAGCTTCTAAGTCAACATCAAAACGCTTGGTGCTAGCCCGATCAGCTTCTTTTTTTATAAATGTTACCCATTCTGACAATATGTAATGCAAGAAAACAGATCAATTTGAAGAGAAGAAACAACTTTTTGTAGCAAACATAATGAAAAAATGTATATTCTTTTTCTCTCAAATTTCTTTCAATTTGCTCAGAGGACAATTTATCAGAATCAATCATTTTAATAAATGCGTTCAATGAATAAATAAGACAGTGACGTGCTCGTTAGACAAAAGAGAGCAAAGTGAATAAAAATATAATACATAGTCTAACTTATTATATTTTTGTCTACTTTGTTCTATTTTGTCTGATGAAGATGACTTTGACGTTGAAATACGACAATGAGAATAAAGAGTCTATAAGGTACACACTTTCACAACACGAAAGGTTCTGACCGATATATTTCTTTATGCTATTTTGTGTAGGCTATAGATCTTGTGAGTCACTAGTTTCACCAGAATCTTAGTGAATCATTAACTAGGGAAAGCGTAAACGAAAAAAAATGTAAAAGACTGATTGCTTCTCATGAGAAAAATGCAATGTATTTGTCGCAGGAGTCGTTCCATATTTTCAAAGATATATTCCATCTTTTATTATTTACTTTCATATCTAGGTTACAAAACTTGAAACGTTGGCGTTTAAATATAATATTAAGATTATCTACTATCTTAAATGTCATTGCGAGCTAAATGCCATTGAAGGTCTTTGGTGGAATCAAAAAGCATATGTTCGTTCACGTATTGACCAAACTTTTGATAAAATGATAAGATTAATATCTGAATCACGTATACATTTTGTTGAACGAAAAATTTTATTGAAATTATTTCGACGTTTCTGGCGTGCAATCAAAGCCTATTCTCAAGGTCAAACATATGCTGACATCTTAAGACCGTTCTTCAGTCAGTTTTGCAAAACAGCAATACAATCACATTGTAGAATCTCAAATACAAACATAGACGTAGTCTAACGGAAATTTTTCTCTATTTGAACACTTAATCTGCATGTATCATTCGTATTATTTATTCAAACTATGGTTTTTCAAGAATAGGTTTTCCAGAGACCCTTCAAAGATTCTCTAGAGATCTCAATGTGTGCTCATTTGATTCGTCCTCACTTTTTACCTATATGAACAAATTTTCACTTGATTTGAGTAAAAGATAGTCGTTTTATTTAAAATGACCTTCCCGTTTTTCTATCTTAGTAGTAAAATCACTTTTCTCGACAAAAGAACGAAAAGAAAAGAAAAACATATATACTTTGTGACTAATAGTATGATGAGTCACATGAGATACCATGTGTGCCTTCATCACTTACGTAAAAAACTAGATAGATTTAGAAAAACGACCTACACATATGACGCTCGGCATGGTTCGAAGCGTCCTCATTAAAATATTTTTGGAGCTGAAGTCGATTTAACGACTTGTTTATTTATACTCCGTTTTTGATGCTGAGTCTGAAAAAAATATTTTCAGAAGCTGAAAGAAAAAATGAAACGGAGAATTTTGCGCATTCTGAAAAAGTTGTATTTTTCCAAAAAAATGATTCCCTTCGATTTTTTCGTATTTTTCGATCTGAAAACAGCATTTGCTATAAAGAAAAGGCAAAAAAAATTTTTACTTGAAATTCGCATTGCCGGCATCTTACTTCTGTAGATGAAGGGAATCACCGAACACTTTTTGTGACCACTTATTGAATGACTTCTATGACTCATAGATTCGTCATCTGAAGAAATATATCAGAA